GACTGTGTCATATGAGAAAGGCAATGAATCTTCAGTAGTGACATGGCATCCTAGTCTTGGCTGGGTTATTAAATGACTACAGGTCTTTGAACAAGTGCCTTCACTACTCTGGGTCTTAATTTCCTCATCTGTAAAATGAGAATAAAAGTACAACTGTGCTTCTCATGGTTATAGAGATTAAATAAAATAACAGAGCTCCCCAGGTACCGGCCCTGTTGGCCTCTTGCCCTTGTGAAATATTCTGGACTATTGTTCCTGTCATTTGGACCTCATTAGTGTGCTCAGTCTTCCTTCTGGTAAAAGCCAAGCTGAAATCTGTTGCTTTGCTGGAGGGAAAATTTGTATTAGTAGCATACATATTGTTCAGGTGGTCTCTGTTTTGCTGAAAGGGCAGACATCAAAAAAAAGGAAGCATATTAGGCTAGCAAGATATGCTTTTGTGAGCCCTGTATTTGAAGAAAGACCCAAAGGGGAAAGACTGAGGCACAGGAGATCTATGTCATGTGCTGATGGGTCTAAGGAAGCCCTCAAACATTGTGCCCAGGAATTTATCATCATCTGGTGTGCTACTTTTTGTATTTTCACATTTTTATTATTTTTTATTTTGAGGTAGTAAAATACAACAGAATGAGACAGAACAAAGCCAACTGAGACTGCATTAGTGAAATTGGTACAGAACTTCACAGCAGGATACTGGGATAACAGTAATAAGTACCATAGTATATCTTGTTATTGTCACAATAGTTGTTCATTCAATCAGGTATAGAAAAATCAAACTAAAAACAGAACTTTATAAAACCTATCAAAACAGATTATTGAATAGAGCAAAACAATCAGAACAAAGCAACACAGTGAAAACAGTATTTGTCTTCAAAGAGAAGATAGAAGGAAATCCCCAATATTTGCTATATTGCATATGGTCATCCTCCCAAGAGATGCTCAGACTTCTGGCTCCCAATTGCTAACGGGGCAGGAGATACCAATGGGATGTTTAATTTTCAGCCCGTGCACCAGTAGGCTCACAGGAGACACTAACTGGTTCTCTTCCTGACTCATCAACCACTCACGCCCCAGCTGCTTACCAGGAAGGAGGGCGCGTTGCTTTGTTGCTTAGCACCCTAAGTTTCAACATGGCTGGATCTTGGGAGATGCTGACTGGTTCTATTCCTGGCTCGCCTGCTACTTGGTGTGCTACTTCTATGAAGCCCACTCATTTAGGTAATGTTACAAATTTCTAAGTGCCTTGGGCTGATATGATTAACTCTATAATGAATTAAGAAAGTTGAGAAAAGAAATTGCAAATGCCAAAAAAAGGAATGTTGTTCAGAGAAAAAAAGAAAAATTATAATTTTAGGGACTGCTACTCAAGAGATAACTATCAAATTCCCAAATGAAATCTCTTTTGAGACGATCTACCACCATTGCTCTTTTTACACTACAAAGGCAAGCTTTTCTATCAAAACTTGATATATTACTGCTATACCAAGTATGTGGCTAGGGAGGCCTTTAAATTTGCAACTGATAATTTTTAGTGTTTCCTGGGAGTGCCATTTGTTAAGTAAGTTTATTTAGCTGCAGATACTAGACCTTACTAAAAGACAAGTAATCAAGAAAGAATGATGAGAAAGGAAACAGTACAGGATATTAAGGCCAGTAGAATTTCTCCCTAGAAGCTAAAGTTAATGCTAGAGTCAAAGCAAGTAACCCTAAAGGAAAAAAAAAATATGTTTCTATTTTGTAAGTTTTTTTTCTTTGTATTTTTCAGACAGGTCTCATTATGCAGTTCAGGCTGGCCTTGAGCTTACTTAGTAGTCCAGCTGGTCTCGAACTAGAAATGATCCTCTTGTGTCAGCCTCTTGAGTGCTGGAATTACAGGCATGTGCCACCACATCCAGTTTATTTTGCAAGGTTTTAAAAAATATTGCATGCTGGGATGGTACCTTTGATCATGAACTTTTGGCTGAGTTCCAGGTTGATTCTGCTGGCACAGAGAACTCTGAGATCATACCCTATACTCAGAGAAGCGAAGAAATATTTTACCTGTCTTTGAAATACAGAGAAGCAAATGGAATATATCTAAATAGTTTCATACCAAAAACATACCAAGTTGAAAAAATGAAGGACATCCTGTGTGTTTGGAGTTACAGAAAGGTACTATTCTAAATACTTACGTGGCTTTTTTTTTTTCTGTAGAGAGTTTCACAATAAACTATGTACCTTGTATAAATCTGAAGACAATATCCTCCTTCACAGATACATAAACCAAGGCAGAAACATTTTTTGATTTACTCAAGACTACTTTAAAAATAAAACAAGGATGAAACTAAAAGACAAAATAAAAAACAATTCCCAAAGTAGCTGGTTATGACCCAGGAGTTTGAGTTCTTAAGAGCTGAATTTAATCCACACCTAGGCCAAATATAATTCTGTAGCATGGAAATGATCCAGGACAAAAAGCTAACATTTCCCACCTTTGCCAAAGAGCCACACACAATTAAAACATTTCTATTTCTCAGTTGAAAGAAAGTAAGGCCAGCATTATCTAACAAGCATGGCAGGGCTGACACAAGTCCATCTGAAGAAAGCGTATTTCCCCTCTGTTCAGCATGGCCTTGCATTTGTGTGATTCTTTGGAGGTCTCCTGTTCAAATATCTATTTCTTTTTTTTTTTTTTTTTTTTGGTCTTTTTCGTTTTTATGGGTACCAGGGATCGAATTCACGACTGCCTGCTTGCAAGGCAGGTGCTTATATCGCTGAGCTAAATCCCCAGCCCCTTCAAATATCTATTTAAATTGGAGATATGGATAATATAATTTTAGGTAACAAGGCTGAACCATAGATTTGCTCTATGCACTCATCTTGAGCATCTGATTTGGCAGATAAAGTGAAGAAGTAGCATAGTATACCTTAGATGCAAATTAAGCCCCGGAGATTGCTCTGTGAATTAGAAATTTGAACCTCATTACTACTTGATGAAAATGGTCCATTCAAAAGCTGCTGTGGAAATCTGAAAACTATTATCTTTTTTACACTTTGTCTCTTCACCCGCATTTTATTTGGGAAAGTATTAGTAACACCTGTGAACAACAATAAACCACTTTTGAGTTATCAATTTGAGTACTTCTGGCTCCCAGATACGGTGCAGACTACTGAGAAGCCAGCCACAAATTAATCTTTCAGCATCTTCTACCTGTAGGAATGGTTCAGGAGATTAAAATTAATGAGCCCTTTCCCAAAGCTGATCCAGCTTCTGATTTGCCTTTGTAAGAAATGTAAGAAAGTATTATCAGAAACATAAGGAAGAATCCTGTCCCTCCGCCCCAACCCGCTTAACACTGTCTAAACATTCTTATCAGCTTTCCCCCCCCTTACTCTCTACTCAGTACATACACATTTTGCCTGTCGTTTTCTCCTGGGAACTATCTCAACTCAGGCAGAACCACCAGGTGAGGTATAATGAAATGTGACAACAATACAGCAGATCTACTTGGGATAGGAAGTTTTGCAGGGGTTTAAATCAGGCTGTCAACTCAAAACACAATGGACTTTGTTACTCCTGTGTAAAGAGGAAATGGAAGTTTTTGGCCTCTTCAGACTTCATTGTAGGGCAGGATGGCAATTCCGGACGCAAATCTACTTTTAGCTATTCAGTGTTCCCTAGTAAGTTAATTAGCTCTTTCCGAAATGCATGGAAATTTTCGGCATTTTCACGCCGAAGCTCATCCCACAGCTTTAAGCTTGAGGGAGGGTCCAGGTGTGTGAGAAAAGGGTCTGTTAGGTTAATAGAATAAAGTCGTTTTGCCAAGAAATTCCAACACCGCTGATTTGTCTCACAAATCACACACACATAGTCATTCCACGATTTTTTTCCTTTTTCTCCTTGAGCTTGAGCATTCCGGATGGCCTGCTGAAATGCCTCACCATTTCGGGTGTAGGGAGTTACTCTGGGGTTTAAAAGTCCTTAGGTGGGAAGCTCAGAGGAACTACAAATGCCTAAGAAACGCCTACCTGCTCTGGAGAGCAGCAGACACTGGCTCAGGTGATGGCCGGGACGGTGGAAGGGCCTCTTAGCACATCTTTTCCCTGAGCGGGGATGGTTCTCAAATATGGGTTTGGCGACCTCTGCTTTATCGGACGACCTGTCACATAGAATGGGGAGGGCAGCTCTAGCATGAAGAGGTCTGTGAGGGACTCTGCCTGGAGACTGCCTAACATCACCCAGGAGAGCATGCGCCTCACCAAGTGACAGCACGCGTCTCTCACCCCCCACCCCCCCACCCCGGTCAAGCTCTGGGCAGAGGTGCGGAGACAGTTTGTCTTCCCCCGCCTCACTTGTGCGGGCGAACCGAACCTCGGTGGGAGGCTCGTCTATCTCTGGGCAGCTTGGGCCCCTCGAGCGCTCGCCCAGTCTGTCAGTAACCATCGTTTGCGCTTTCTTTTTCTTTTTCTCTATTTTTTTCCTCCTCTTTTCTTCCTCCCTCTGCCTTTGTCCCGCTTAGTAACTGGAGTTTGACCAATCGCCGCTTCACCGGCCGGAGCCGGCTATCTCCTGATTGGCTCTCTTGGGGCGCGCAGGGTCTCCCGCTCCTGTGCCGGAGCTAGGCAGACAAAAGACGCAGGCTCCAGGCTCCGGCAACCGGGATCAGCCAATCACCACCAGCCTTACCTCGCCCCCACCTTCCTCCTCCTCCTTAGTTTGCTAGCTCTCTCTCATCCCTGACTCCTGGCAGGCGGTCTGCGCCCGGACTGTGCCATTCCGATTGAGGCTGAGGGCGAGGGAGGACTGCTGATTAAGAAGTTGAGCTCTAGAGAGAGGCGAGAAAGATTGAAACCCAGAGTGGAAGACATCTTCGTGAACAGTTTCTCAGGCACCAGACCCTCCCTGTATGTTAAAGTGGAATAGAGTGAAAATGCGGTAGTGTTGCCGGCAACTCCCCCCTGCCCAACACGGTTGGGCGGTGCCGGGAGGGGGTAGAGGGGGCGGGAGAGCATGTCCCCTCGGCGCCGTTAAAATGAAACTCTAGTGGCTGGAGTCAGGGCAGAGTATGAGGAGATTCAGCGTCGCCGGTGTTGTTCACACCGGTCGGGAGCGCCCGGCCGAGCCGGAGTGACTGGACTTCGCGACGGCCGCCGACCCTGAGGCTGCGGCAGCTTTGGTTCCGAGTCGTCTGGAACGGAGCCTGGGTCTCGGTCCCTGCGGGAAACGCTCTTCAGACCAGTGGGACCCCGAAACTTGAGCGCAGACCCCAACCCTTTTTTTTTCTATGCCTTTGTCACATCCCCAGCTTTCTCCAAAGCGTTTGCCTCCCTTTTAGTTTTCCCCCCTTCGAAGGACACAAAAGTGGCTTCCTCAGAAAGATTTAGAGACGGCGGAGCTTTTCTTTTTCTCGTTGGAGAGAGGTTGTGTGAAAGGATTTCGGGAAACCGCTTTTTAATATTACTGTTCTCCGGCCCCCAAGCGAGTCTAACCTTCTGAGGAGAAAAACTCCTACAGCTTGAAAGTTCGGGTGGCATTTTGCTGGGTATTGTAGGAGAGAAGGGAGGACCGTATTCTCTTCTTGGTCCTGGTAGTTGGCTGGATTTGGACCAGCCGTTAGAAACCCCGAAGTACGTTTCCTTGTGGAACTTTTACACATATATTTTTCAGATTTTAAAATATTAGACAAAAAAATATATGCCTTCTATGTATTACCTGACGACCTGCCCCTGACAGCGCGATGTACAATACGGTGTGGAGTATGGACCGCGATGACGCAGACTGGAGGGAGGTGATGATGCCTTATTCAACAGAACTGATATTTTATATTGAAATGGATCCTCCAGGTACTTGGGAGAAAAAAAAAGTCTTATGATGGGTCTGATTTGTGTTTAACAAGACCTTGGTGATGTTTTTGGGGCAGAAGTGTTCTTGGGTATACTGGGTTTGGGATGAGGGGGAGCTTTGCAGTTAGGAACTGCAGTAAAGCTGTTTCTGACTTACACGATTAAAGTTTGCAGTTAGGACCCCAGTCCCATTGTCCTGCGAAGGAGGGGATGGGAGGGAAGACCCGATTTCCCCTCCCTTCCCCACAGGAAAGACTTGTACCTGCGACATGTTCTGTATACTATTATTCAAGTCAGTCTTTCGGAATTCTTTAAAACTGGTGGTTTCATATATTTGTGTGATTTGGTTCCTTGTGTGTGTGGTTTTTTTTTTCGGTACCAGGGATCGAGCTCAGAATTATTATTATTTTTTGGTTCCTTGTGTTTTATCTCGGTTAATTTCCGAAACTGAGTTGCTTATGTGGATTATTCACTTTAAGATTACCATTTTCTCTTACAGAAACTAAACGCTAGTTAGTGATTTTCTGGAATTGAATATTCTGGCCTTAGGTTTTTATTTTAGAATACTATGACTCAGATCTACGTGGAATATTTTATTAGTTTAATTTATGTTGATTTAACTTAATTTATGGAATAGAGTTTAATATAACTTCAATTCTTTGAGTTAAAAAAAGAGCTAGACTACTTCTTTCTTGTGACTACTTGATATGTACATATATGTGATAGTTCCTGTATACATATATTTTAGAGCTGACAGACTGAGACTGTTACAGACATTTTGTGTATCTGATAGTGAAAGGGAAGAAAAGGAAAACGAAAAAGTTTTTTTTTTTCTTTTTTAGAGTCCCTCTTATTTTATGGTTATTGGCTGTCAGATTTTCAAATCGTTTGCAGTTACAGACAGTACTTTATATAATGATTTTGAATAAGTAGAGAGCCTTTGTGACTGCTTGTTTTTGTTGAGGATGATTTCGTTAAGTGTTTTTAAAAAGTCTTATTACCAAGCCTATAGAAGAAATTGTGTGTCATTTGGGAACCTCACTTAATATAAGACTGTATATTTTTGGAAATGCTTGAAAGGATTTGAGCCCATGCAAGTGTAATTAAGTATAATTATTCTATAGAAGGTATGTAGAAATACTTCCTGTGTCTTTGCAAACAGTGAATATCCTTTTTTTCAGTTAGTATTAAATGCTGCTCATTAAAATCTAAAACTGATGTTGAGAAAACCTTTTTTACTCTTATTGATGACTCAGATTTTGAATTTTCCTTTATTTTGGATTGTTCATTTCCTTTTATAGTTGTGATTGCAGTCCATATGCAGCTTTTCAGTTTTGCAAAGTTTGTAAGATTTGCCACCCATCTATTGTGTGTTTTCCCCTTTGTTTCACCCTAATGGTGAAGCATTGCTTCTGCCAGGCACATTTGTCATTCATGTGCTTAGAAATTTAGTGTATCACTGAAACCTCTTTCATAAAAACTAAGTTTAACACGTTTCTGTAACTGTAAAATTTATATATTTAAACTGCCTTAGAATCACACTGTATCATTCAGTTTGCCTTTGAGACATAAAAAGAGAATTTGTTGGGTGGGGAGGTGAATGAGGAGAGGAGAAAATGTAAGGTAGGTACTAATGGTTGAAAAATAATTAGCCTGATAGAAAAATACTGAATTCAGTTTTCCAAAAGTAATTTAAGAAAAGCTCACTGTTACAGAAAAATGTGTTATATGTAGGGATATTATAAGGTTGCATGGAAAATCCTGATCCAGACTTTATTTTCTGTGGAAACAAACTTTTGAGTTTAAAACATTATTTCTTGGATGAAATCATGTACATTATTTCTTGAATGAAATTGTGCATTATGAGATTCTATTCAGAATGATGAAGATACATGTATGCTGTTCTTTATGTCCACTTTGAGGCCTTAATATAGATACGGTTATTTCTAACAGCTTTTTAAAAAAAGAACCATACTTGAGTATGCTCAGACATTGTTTATCTACAATGAATTTTTAATGGGAATAAGTTATAAGTAAATCATCAAGTGAAGTGGTTGCAAGCATGTTTTATATCTTATCATTTTCCTAACTCCCACACCACATCAGCTTTATTATTCTGTACTGGTACTGATATTGCCTAAATATTATTCTGCAGTGGTTCTGTCTGTACTGGTGTGGTAACACACTGTTTTCCTATTTTTACTCTATCCAACAGTACAGTAAGTCCTCAAACTAATGAACATTTGAGTTGTGAACATCACAGGTGTACTGTATATGACTTACTTTGTTGGCTTATGAGCGACTTCCGAACAATTCTGCCAGATAGAAGAACTTGTTTGTAAGTCAGGGACTTACTTAATGTTAAAGTACCATCCAAGGATTTACCTTTCAATAATCTTCTAATGGCGTTATTTATTTATTTATCTCTTCTAATAGCTTTAAAAATCTCCCACTGGCTTCCTTTTGCCTACTGAAAAAAACAAGGCCTAAATTATTTATATTGTGATATAAGTCCCTTTATTTTTGTTTCCAACTTAATTTTCCAGTTGGTTCTTTTCCTCGAGTCCACAGTAATATCTGTAGAAACTATTTTGTGTTTGCTGTTCCTTAGTGCTTTTATATTCATTTTGGAGGGCTTTCATTGGAATGCCTAGGGTTTACCTGTTGAAATCATGTATATTAGAATCCAGGTCAGATACCATCTTTGCCTGGATAAATGTTTTCTGCTCTCTTCTATCACTCCATTCCTCTTCCTCCTTCTCCTAGCACGTCTCAGATAAAATTTATTCTATTATGTTTAGAGTAGTATCTGAATTTATTTATGTATACTTTTCTGTACACAGTTGACTTTAAGAATCATCTTTCCATCTGGTTAGAAGCTTCTTGGGTCAGGATATAGCTCAGTGGCACAGTGCCTCCCTGGTAAGCCTGAGGCCATAAATTCGATTCCCTGGTACAAAAAAGAAAGAAAGAAAGAAAGAAAGAAAGAAAGAAAGAAAGAAAGAAAAGCATCTTAGCTTGTCCAGGAGCTTACAAATAGTAGATAGTCAATATATGTTGAGTTAATAACTAAGAAACACTTTTTCTAATCTTTAGATGTTTTTCTGCTTAGGGTCTTTGGACCTCTCTTGGCTGTTGCCAATAGCCTAGAGTTAAGTCTTTTTTTTTGAGACCGAGTCTTGTTACATAGTTTAGGCTGGCCTTGAACTCATGGTAAGTCTCCTACCTCAGCATCCTGAGTGTTAGGTATTGGGATTATAGGCATATACCACTATATCTGGCTCTTAAATAGCTTTTGAGTTAGACATATGTTTACATAGGGGCCCTTTAATTGTAATAGTACCAGTATATTTCAAATATATTTTTAAATACTAACTTTAGACTGAACCAGAGTGTAAAATTCCTTTTTTAAAAAAATGGAGCCTGGCATGCTGGCACATTCCTAGAAGAATCCCAGCACTAAGACTGAGGCAGGAGAATTGCTGCAAGTTTGAGGCTAGTCTGGATTACTTAGCAAAAGCCTGTCTCAAAAAACAAACAAAATGGTACTAGAGATTGAAATTAGGGACTCAAACTTGCTAGGCAATTGTTCTGCCACTGAGCTACAGACATTTTTATTTTGATCTATGGTCTTGCTGTGTTGCCAGGCTGACCTCAAACTTGTGATCCTCTTGCCTTACCTTCCTGAGGAGAGGAATTTCATTGTGTGTGCCGTTATGCTGGGTTCATAAATGTAAAGTTCTTATTTGTTTCTGTTTCTAGTGGCCTAAAAACCTGTTTTTCAATAATGATCATTGTCATGCATCCTTAAGATTTCTTTTTTTTTTTTTTTTGGTCTTTTTCGTTTTTATCGGTACCAGGGATCGAACTCACGACTGCCTGCTTGCAAGGCAGGTGCTTATGCTGCTGAGCTAAATCCCCAGCCCCCATCCTCAAGATTTCTAATAACTACATGGATTGGTTAGGTTTATGATCATTTACTGACAGTGTAAGAATTGTTTTTAAATGAGGTTTAATGTTTTAATGTTTTTGTGTTTTCCAGCAGCTATAGAAATGTTAAACTATTTAGATGCAGTATAACTTCTTATTCTAAAAATGTTAAGATTATAGAATTGAGAATTACTTATAAGCATTTTGGTGAATCCTCCTGTAATTTGGGAATTGAGATCATTTTATTGCAAAATATTTGGTGGACAGACCTCTCAAAGAGTCCACTTTCAGTATAGGAACTGTACACAACTGGCATAAATGCGTGCACAAATTTATAGTTATCTATTAACTTAGCACGTTAGTTTTTATATTGCTATTTTAAGCAAATGTAATAAATTACTCCTTTTAAAAATTCATGGACACTATTTTCATTTAAGATTGTGGACATTTTTAGGCAGGATGTGGTGGTGCACAGCTGTAATATCAGCACTTAGGAAACTGAGGCAGGAGGAGCCACACAAGTTCGAACCCAGCCTTGGACACGTAGTTCAAGGTTAGCCTAAACTGAATACTAGGACTGTGTCTCGAAAAAAGAAGACTGTGAACTTTTTTTTTCAAGGTGAATTTCTAAAATTTTAAGAGTAGCAACATCTCAGTATATAGAGAATAAAAATTTTACTTAATAGAAATACATAGGAAGGTCTATTAGAGTGGTTCTCAATATTTTTGATTTCAAAAACCTTTTTAGACTCAATTTTTGAGGACCCTAAAGAGGTAATCAGTAATTTTGTTTAGATTCTTTGGATATTTACTATATTAGAATGAAACAAAAGTTATAGAAATGTTTACTTAAACATGAATCATTATACAGTAACTGTTTAAAATGTTATATTTTTCAAAAAACAAAAAATTTGGGCTAGGGATTTAGTTCAGTGGCATAAGCACCTGTCTGGCAAGTGCAAGCACAGGGTTGTGAGATTGATCCCCCATACCAAAATAACAAAACAAACAAACAAAAAAATAGAAGACTGGCATGATTTTAAGGTTTTGCACATAACTTTAATATCCAG